CTTTCTTTCTTTCTTTCTTTCTTTCTTTCTTTCTTTCTTTCTTTCTTTCTTTCTTTCTTTCTTTCTTTCTTTCTTTCTTTCTTTCTTTCTTTCTATCTATCATCTATCTATCATCTATTATCTATCATTATCACCTATTTATCATCAATTCATATATATCTCTCTTTGTGTTTATCTATTTGTCTGTCTGTCTGTCTATCTTTCTCTCTCTCTCTCTCTGTGTGTGTGTGTGTGTGTGTGTGTGTGTGTAAGCAAGCACCAACAACTGATACCCAACGGAGTAAGGAGAAAGGAAGGTTTCCACGAAAGAGGTGAACTGGGCATCCCAGCTGGACTTACTGTACTCAGTTCCTGTCATCTGAGCAAGGACCCGGAAGGACTTTGACTGCAAGTTTGAAGACCGGCGGCTCCAATCATCCAGATCTTCTTCAGACTTGTTTTGAGTTTTAAGCACAGCCTGATAGACTGGAGACGCACTGTCTACATGAGGATCTTTAACAGGAAGGTTACTGCAATGCAGAAAGTAACATGCACTGTAACATGGCTCATGAGATCCAGCCCGCCCTTCCCAATGTCCTCGCTGACGTTTAGCCTCAGATCCACATTTTCTTCTTCTTAGCCATGGAAATGAAATTGTTACTTGTGAAACAAGCAGATACAAGGAAGCCATGATGCAAAGTTGCCTTTCTCTTCACAGGAAGCATGGAGATTATTGTTATCTAGGACACACATTACACCAGGGGTCCCCAAACTTGGCAACTTTAAGCTGGCTGGAGAATTCTGGGAGTTGAAGTCCACACATCTTAAAGTTGCCAAGTTTGGAGACCTCTGCATCACACAAAGACAAGTAATCTGGACAGAACATGTCTTCATCACACCGGACAGGTAAAATTTACCATTTGCCTGGCTTGCAACTTTCTGAAATATCTCAATCACCATAGCAGTTCAGAGAACGGCATAGGATTACCCATATTTCCAGGAAGCTGCTGATCTGTTTCCACTACTTAAGACAATGATTGCGTTAAAAACGGAAACGTTGGGAATATGGAATCCACACCCATGTTTTCCAGGAAACAGCTGGTCTTCCCAAAGCCTTTTCACCAAGAGAATGCTACCAAGACTATACAACCTCATCAGTTCCCTCCTCGTTGGCATGGCTTGGAGTAGGAAGTATCATTTGAATACTGCATCTGATTGGCGTTTGGGAAGTCTTGACAATGAATTCAATAATGAAAAGGCTTTCCGTATTGGGTTAAGACTATGCTCTTCTTCTTCTGATTGGTTTGCGATGTCCCTATAACATGCTTGCCCCATCATTGATCCAATTTAAGTGTGTTGTGTAGATAGGACTTTCCATGGGACCGTTCATGATGTCTCAGGATTTGCAGACCAGCTGAGATCACAGTGTGAAACCACATCTATGTGAAACTATCACTAGCATGTGGTGAATGGAGCTGAATGGAGTTATATTGAGTGGACTTTCTAGGGCTACATCTTTGTGGTGGCTTCGTGGACTGGGTATGGAGATTGAGATTCCATGCCACATTTCATTTCATAATTCTCATTGTCCTTCATAATCTTTATTCTCCATGCACAGTAACACACTTGTTCTGCCACCTCTCCCTGATATGTAGTAGTCTCTCCCATTACAACTGGACAACTGATCAGACGTACACCAAAACTCAGTCAGCTACTTCTGAAGCTCGTAGCAAAGGCCAAAGGCAGCTGGTCAATATCCATGTTGGCTAGAAATTATAGCACCTTAAACATAACACTTAGAAATCGCAAAGGTGGGGGAACAATTTGAAAAACTGTTTTCAATAGTTGTATTTGCACCAAGAAAGCATCATCAGCCCACCCATAACAGTCTCAGGAGGACACACTGAATGACTTGAAGGAAAGAACAATTTTCGATTTGCGTAATGGAAACAGTGCAACTTTCACAAGAAAAGGATTAAATGAATGGGGGGGAAATGTCATCAAGCAAACCTGGTGGAATAAGAATGTTCGTGAAGTCTACAGATGTTGGTGAAGCCCCATCAACTGCAGTCAAGTTAGTTGTTTGGTCGATGGGAATCATATCATAGGTCAACAGTATCTGGAGAGTCAGATGTCTTCTTATCACATGCCTTGCTGAACCTATCGTACGTATCTCATCTAGCATTGTTTCTAATGGTGGCCAAGCCAAACATCTGTTAGAAGCTCCCAAACAGATAAGGATTATGACAGAATTCACCATATCATTTGTAAGCATCACAGAATCTTGCAAAATATTGGCTCTGAACAATGATCATTCTTTGCATTTGTCTAATCTACCTTTAAACATCTCCTCACCTTGTGTTAATAAATAGTTGTGTTCTCCTCAAGAAAACTTTGCTTCGTTTATTGTTGGCTGTTATTTTCTTAGGAGAATAACAGTCAACAATAGAAATCAGATAGTTCCCCATATTAATTGCATTACTGACAATTGATTGCTTACACTACAGAGTTAATCATATCAGAACTTACATGGGGGAGGGAGTCCATATACTTGATGCAAATCATAGAATATATTTTAGAATTCTGGTCTGAGTACTGACTTTGTGCTAGCACCAGAAACTAGCTTAACTTATTCCATTAAAGCAAAAACCTATTAAGATTTACAGAAAGCCACAAAAGCCTGAATGGAATTGGAATCAACTGAATCTATGAACATCAACCTTTCATACGAGACATGGACACTACGTTGCCCAAACAGGCCTGCAAGGGAAGCTGTGGATTTAGAAGGAAAAAAAAAAGGGGCTGTGTGTGCATTTCTTGTGAAGTACAATAGGAAAAGAGAAGACGCTAACAAAAACAGCCAGCTCAACAAATGAAAAAAAGAAAAATTGAAAGCACAGAAAAGGAAGTCAAACTGTGACAGTGGTTGGAGTGAAAGACACCGTATGTTTAGTAATATCCATTAAAATTCACACAAATGTTGTATTTGCCCAGAGAGAAATCTCTGGTTAAATTCTTGGGAAACTCATGGGACAAAAAAGGAATTTTTGAATACAATCCAAGGTGCAAGAAAACACAATGAATCTGTGTGTGTATCTCTAAGAACTGATGTGTATCAAAACACCTCCTAAACACAAATAAGATTTGGTCCAGAGATGACATTAAAGAAGTCTGATGTGGAAATTGCCCTTGGAATTGTGAATTTTTATTTTTCCTTTCTCCATTAACTCCCTTTCGCTTCTTTTGATCAGGATTAAATGCAGACTCGATCCTATTTAAAATAGATCCACTGAAATTAGTGGGGGACAAGGTGATGCATCGGTACATTTAAGTTTTGTGGATTTCAGAGAATCCTTTCTGAAGCAGCTTTGGTTCTACTACATGGATTTTACTTCTGTTACTAATATGTCATTCTACACAGATCTGCAAAATACATTTATTGACTTACTCCAGATTATATGCCATGCCAGTCCAAAGACTGGGAATAGCTTTTGGCCACATGCAAAGTATGGAGAAATACAGTAAGAACCAAGAACAAAAATAATTAAAACCATAACAGTTATATAACTGCAGGATTAATTTCCAGGATCTACAATATATATCATGTCTGGCCACCAAGGGAGAATCAGTTGGCTAACGCTACCTAAGAGGACAATTTTTGTACCCTAGGACCTCAAATCTTTCTGTCAAGAGAGGATCTTATCAAATGGCAGAACGTTTTTGTCTACATCAGGTCTAAAGAGAAATTTCTCAGAAAGCTGCTCTATATGATTCTACCACTTGTGCAAATATGAGGTGGCTTCCAACAACCACATGCAAATAAATCCTTTCATAATACACAAGGCTTAAACCAGCAAACCAACTCTCCATGCCTGTTGGGTGGAATTTCACTGAAGCTAGTGGAGTTTTGTGGAATATGTGTTCCTTCTTGGGATCCATCGCCCCAGTGAGCCGATATTTTAATCTAGTGTGATATTAACTCCTTGACAAATCTCTCTGAAGCATCGCCACCAAATCTGGGCCCATTCAGATGTATATAAATGACTGAAGACTGAGTTACAACAACCTCGGAAAAGGTGCTTTATCACTTGTAAAACACTTGCAGGCATCTAAAATCTCTCTCTCTCTCTCTCTCTCTGTCTGTCTCTCTCTCTCTCACACACAGAGAGAGATACACAGAGAGCTACAGAGAGAGAGAGAGACAGAAGAGAGACACAGAGAGAGAGACACAGAGAGGCAGAGAGACAGAGAGGTACACAGAAAGAGAGAGAGAGAGACAGACAGACAGACAGATAGACACAGACACAGACACACAGAGAGAGACACAGAGAGAGACACATTCATATCATTGCATTGTAGGCACTTGACAATCCGCTCACATTTACAACTGGTTGCAGCAACCTTTGGTCTTGTGACCATGAATTGCATCTTTTTAGCCAGTTTCTGATGGTTTTTTGGATTTTTTTGGGCCATTTTTTTGGGGGGGGGAAATACCCATTCTGGAGAAAGGATTTGGACTTGCAATCCTGTAATTTACTTAATGATCACTGTAAAAATGGTCCTAAAATTGGATCCAAACATGTGAGTACCTTGACCTTATGACGTTTATGACTTAGAGTGAAATTCTGGTCTCAACTGCAGTTGTAAATTGTACATTATTTGTAGTCCCTCTTCTCCCCAGTTTAGAGTGGATTAACCCAGAATGTACAGATGCTAAATTTATATAATACTTTCCCCACCAAAGATGGAAAATGGGCAGGTTGGACTTTTTTATTAGTGGGATTTAATCCAGGGGGGCAGTTGCAGTCTTATCCAAACATTGAAGGGGCAAGACTATTTCTTCAAAACTGAAGTGAGAAAAACAGGATGTGATGTTGCTTTAAACTGATGGAATTATTTTGAAAGTTCAGGTTAGTGTTGCATGCTTGATACCTCTAAAATAAACAAGTATTGAGAGAAGTGAATGATAAACAACAAGAGGAGAAAATAACCTTGCGCTTTTCAGTTTTTCGCATTCTACAGAGATGGGAAAATGCATCTATTTATGCCAGTGGAAATTCATGGTGAGTCATGCGTTCCAAACCCAAGAGAAAAGCTGTGAGTGATTTGGATCCATAATTACATGATGTTGGGAGAAGCAATACGAATTAGTATGAGAAATCAGTGAAGACTCAAAGGAATGTGTCAGAAAGGAGAAAAAAGAAGAAAAGACATGGTTACCAGTGAAAAAAAGAATAAGGCAGTAAATTAACACTTTGCAACTGAAATAAGCTGGTTTGGCATATTATTATAAGTACAAGAGCCAAGTTGATTCTGGAGTCTCCAAAGTTTTGTAATGTATGCATAAAATAAAGGCAAGAAAGGTTCTTCAGCAGAACTGAAGAAGCTTCTTGGATGAGAAGCAAAATGTCTTCAAGGAAAAACCAAGTCCAGTTGCCTCTTGAAAAAGCACCTTTGGAACCTTTGGTCGCCAACATTTTGGACCCCAGGGACCACCAAACTCATAATTTTAAATCCTGCAAACCAGTTGACCCTGGGAAAATCCCCCCAAAAGTCTGCAGGAAAATTCCCCACCCCGTCTTCCTACCGATCGATCATTCTTTATTTGGGATTGCAGGATACTGTCTCCAGCTCCCTTCTCAGGGCGGGGGGGGGGGGGGAGAGATAGAGACTTTTGGCTTCATGCAAGGAAAACAACAGAAGCAGCAGAAGTCTTTCTTTCTCTCCCCCAAACTCCGCCAGAAATGACTCTTGGTGAGACTTGTCACGCTGGCGCAGCCTCTTGGAGCAGGATGCCTTGTAGGGTCCCATGCAGCCAAAGGCAGAAGAAGAAAGAAGCAGAAAGAAGCAGCCGGTGGCCAGGTGAGGTGCATGGGGCGAGTGGGGCAAGTTCCCCCCCTCTGCCCTTTCCCCCCTCTCCTCACTACCTTGTGTTGTTTTCAATGCAAGCGACGCAAGCCTTGTGTTCTCACGCAGCCTGGATTAATTGCTTTAGGGGATGCTTTGGGGGTGACATTTCTCTGTGGACCACCACAATTTTCTCGCGGATCACCACTGGTCCCTGGCCCACTGGTTGGCAACCACTTACCTGGATGACAAAGAATCTCCATAGATATTCATTCATACTAATTAGGACTTTGCTTTCAGTAGCAGAATTATACAGTTAAGAACAATAACCCAACCCATGCAAACAACTGTTCAATTTTCTTTTGCAAAAACCACCAATGATGTCACACATTAACCTAGGATTAATTCACATGACCGTAGCAATATTAATATTGATATTAACAATATCGTGGGTATGAAGCCATGAATGAGAGAGGCACTGCCATCTGAGCTTGGTTCTCATGGTTTGCCTTGGATTGCACTCCAGTTCTGAGATACAAATGGTCCCATCCCTGATTTGAATAATTTTGCTATCTAGGACAACAGAAAATCTGCCGGTAGCTTTTTGCATGCAAATGTTGTGCGTGAGGAATACATGGTGGGAATCCGACGCAGAGTTCATTTCATCACTTAGAAAGATGTTCCTTTCCATGCAAGTTAAGAGACAAATTGACTTTGTACTACAAAGGGGAGGAACCCTGGAGAATACGCCTCTAAATTCATGCACAGCCAATGTGCATTTACATTTCTACAGACAGGCAGATATCTTTCTTTGACTCAAGCGTGGTGAAATCTTGAGCAAAACTAATTACATTGTTCTGCTTGGAATAAAGCACTAAATATATACATATCCTCTCTCCCAAATTACTGCAATTGCTACAGTTTCCCCCTCCCCCCAAAAAAACCCTCACTTGGAGAAATATTCATGCTTCTGATTGTCCTTGAAATAAAAACGTTTACAGAAGCAGCATTAGCATTTGATACTAAAACAGTTTCCCAAGGGCTGCATAATATCAACATTTTTGCTAAAACAGGACAAAAGGAAATAGAGACTAGGAAGATTCTTGTCCTCAAAGGCATCAGAGACAGCTCTTCCTATTCCACATTGGTTGCAAGATGCACACATTTTTAAAATTGAAAGGAATAGTAAAGTTACACCATTGCATAGTCATTGTTAAAAGGGAGAAAGGAGTCACATGAAAGGGATGCTATGAAAGGGAAACCAGTCAAAGATACACAAAGTAGTTGCAGAGAAGAATGTATGGGTGTGTGGGTGGGTGGATGGATGGATGGATGGATGGATGGATGAGTGAGTGGAAGAAAGGATGGATGGAAGAATGGATTGAAGGATGAATGGACAGAAGGAAGAATTAATGGATAGATGGCATGATGGGTGAATGGAGAGATGGATGAATGGATAGATGAAAGCATGGGTGAATGGATGGATGGATAGAATGGAAGGATGGATGGATGGATAGTTGGAAGGATGGATGAATGGGTGGGAAGATAAATGAATGGATGGAAGAATGGATGGATGAAATGATGGGTGAGTGCTAGGATGGATGAATGGATGGATGGATGGAAGGAAGGAAGGAAGAATGGATAAATAAAAGGATGGATAAATAAAAGGATGGATGAATGGGTGGAGATATCCAGAAATGCAGTGAAGAGAAATGGAGATTTCCTTTCTATGGGCACTGGATAACCATCCCAAACAGAGAATAAATCTCAAGATAATCTGCTAAGAAAGCTACCAAGGGAAAGCACATGTGCACAATGGGTCTAAAATGTAAAATAAGCAGATCTGTTCATTTCATCGGAATACCACAAAAACATTCTTTGCTTTCCCATAAAGCTTATAATGTTAGCTTTTATCTACCTTTAAGCTTTACATGCGCGTAAATGTTGGTTTAATGTCTAAGTTTGTTAATAGACTGAGAAAATAAACAAACGGATATGATAGTCTTGGCCGTTGTAGTCTACAAAAGGATTGTTTTTTTAAAGAAAAGCTTTTAGTATAACAGTTGTATTAGAACGCTAGAGGAGATTTTATGGTTGTTTCTTGCCTGTTTTACTCTTACCTTACTTATGGGGACATTTTTATTGTTTTATATATTAGGTTGTATAGCAGATGTGTAATTTTACATCACCCTGGAAAAATTTTAAGTGTCCCCACAATTCTGCTCAGATTTGGCTGTGTACAAATCCAATAAATGAAAGAACATGTTACCAGAAAATGGGAGGGAGGACCAATTTGTAACAAGGAAAGACAAAGGAGGCAGAACATCATTTTCATGCCGTGGCTCAGTCCCACCTTTTTAACTATTTCTCCAACTCCATGGAACATAGAATAATATGGGTCGGAAGGGTCCTTGGATGCCATCTAGTCCAGCCTCTCCCCATGGCAGGAGACCTTATACCATTCTGGACAAACGGTTTCCCAATCTTATGATGCTTGACCCTTGACCCTTGACCCTCAATATCTTTTCTTTTTATGTACACGGAGAGCATTTGCATCAAGACAAATTCCTTGTGTGTTCAATCACACTTGGCCAATAAAGAATTCTATCTATCTATCTATTTCTTCTTGAAAGCCTCCATTGAGAGAACACCTTCAATTCCTGAAGGCAAGCCATTCCACTGGTTAATTGTTCTCACTCTCATGAAATTTCTCCTTAGTTCTAAGTTGCTTCTCTCTTTGGTAAGTTGGAAACTTATCCATCTGTTACTTCTGGTCCAGCCCTCAAGTGCTTTGTGGAATAGTTCAAACCCCCCACCACCACATCTTCTCTATGATAGCCCTTCCAATATTGTCAAACTGTTCTCATTCACCCTTGATCCTTCTCTGTTCCACAGTTTTAGAAACAGTGAGTGATGGGCCACTGCCCTGTTGGTGTGGTTTTAGCAGAATATTTCAGAATGTTGGCATTAGAGAAAGGAGCGGAATTAATAGGACATCTTGCAAAACATCAAAGGGTTTCCTGCCCCATGATGGTAGTAGCCAACTTGCTCCATCAAATCATCCCACCTCTGTCGCTTGGAATAACAGGAGGGTAGACTTGTAACACATACAGCATGTACATGCAGAAAGAAAGGGGTCTTACCCAGCAAGTTCACCACCCTGGGCCTGAGCTTGGCCTGCAATGGCGTCCATGATAGCATCTTGAGAATACATGCTGATGGGTGTGTTATATTGGGCATGAATGATGGTGGCTTTGCCCCCAGGGCCTTTCACCTCTATGGGTTTATGCGTGGACAGCGCAGAATCCTTCAGGACATTGGGGTTGAAACGTTCCACATACTCCGTGCTGGGATGGAGGAGGAAGTGAGGAATCAGGAAGTGCGGGGAGGAAAAAAAAGAAAAGAAGGAATGATGAAAAGATTAAGGAGGGGGAAGGAAAAGATTTAGGAGCACAGTGGAATATTTACACACACACACACACACACACACACACACAGAGCTTTGCGTTTGATCCCAGACAAGAAGAGTAGCATTCCACAAGCAGCAAAGAGTAAGAAGACAACTTTTCTTGAAAATGCATCTGATACTCTTCTAACTGAAAGATTAAAAAAAAAGAGAGAGAGTGACTGACGTAGCCAGTAAACACCTTTGTGAATTATCTGCTTCAATTTAATTCATGTTAGAAGGCATGTCTGCCCTTTGAGGCAGGCTAAGTCAGGAAACAAACACCGCATAAACAGTGCTAGAACATACTTCATGGATCTAGGTTACAAGAAAATCTTGTTTTTTTTTTTATTTTCTTCACTCTTACACCCAAGAGCGCCGAGTGAGTCGATTTGGAATTTCTTCTGCAAGCTTTTTCTTGGATGTAGTGGATATTTTTGTAGCACCTGCTTATTTTCTTCAAAGCTATCTCAGGACTCCTATAAAGCCAGTACGTGACCTTTAAATGGCCCTCTATATAATGCATTTGGCCTAAGATTCAGTTAGATGGCAGCAGAGAGAAGCAGAAAACTCTTTATGGCCAACTAGTGATCATTAGAGACGCGGTGGCTCAGTAACTAAGACGCTGAGCTTGTTGATCAGAAAGGTTGGCAGTTCGGCGGTTCAAATCCTTAGCGCCGTGTAACGGAGTGAACTCCCGTTACTTGTCCCAGCTTCTGCCAACCTAGCAGTTCGAAAGCATGTAAAAAAATGCAAGTAGAAAAATAGGGACCACTTTGGTGGGAAGGTAACAGCATTCCGTGCACCTTCGGCGTTTAGTCATGCCAGCCACATGACCATGGAGATGTCTTTGGACAGCTCTGGCTCTTTGGCTTTTTAACGGAGATGAACACTGCCCCCTACAGCCAGGAACAAATAGCACATATGTGCGAGGGGAACCTTTACCTTTAGTGATCATTGGGGGGGGGGGGCGTGTTGCATCTTAATTCTGATATTCCTACTTAGGGACTATAGTGGATTGGCTTTTCTTCATGCGAAATTTCAAACAATTAGAAGTTTTTTCCTTATTAGATTGGCATTTAGCAGGACCCTCTGAGGCCTGCCGTTCAGGAATATTCAAATACAAGTTGCAGCAATGTGCATAAATAAAGCCTCTGGGTTTTTATGGATTTAGAGCCAAATGATCAGAGAAAAAGCACCAAACGTTTGCCATCTTCAGAGCTGCCAAAGGGTGGGAAGTCTTTAGGGATACAGCAGAATGAGGTCTTTATAAGGGGAGCACCATGACTCCAAAAACAATACTGTACATGCACTCCAGGAGAATGACACCCAAGACAAGGACCTCAACATGCATTGAAGTCTAAAGCAACACATTTACAGAAACACCTTGATTGGAGCCAAAGCAGGTCAGCCTCCTCACAACACAACTCACAAATTGAAGCACCACACTCTTTGCAAGGACACTGATTTTTGCAGCCATTACAAGCTCCATTGATTAGTTGCCCCCCCCTTCTTCCTGCCCAGATGTATGGGAGGAATGGAAGCCATCGACTCCTACAGAGGTAGGATGGCAACCAATGACCACCCAGCTCTGATTTTTGTAGTCTTCTGAGTCTCTTCTGCTAAATAAATTGATCATGGAGCTTCCCTCCCTTTTAGGGAGAAAGTTCTGGTGTCCTCAGTGAAGTCAGAGGTGGTATTCAGCCAGTTCTGACCAGTTCTGGAGAACCGGTAGCAGAAATTTTGAGTAGTTCAGAGAACCGGCAAATCCCACCTCTGACTGGAGATTTTGCAGTATCCTTCCCCTGCCATGCCCACTAAGCCATGCCCACAGAACCGGTAGTAAAAAAAATTGAATCCCACCACTGCTCTTGGTATGAAAGATTCACAGGAGTTGCATAAGAAGGTTTCATCTATAGATTATTTTTTTCATAGATCATCAAACCATGGAGACATGCAAGGATCTCCCAGAAGAATGTTCTGGAAACATGCTTTGGATGAAAAAGGCCCTTCCAGACAAAGGGATACATTGGCAATGAATTCTGGCCAAAATATTTCCTAAGTTAGGTTTATCCTTGGAACAGACCCTGGGGAAATGCCCTTTCGATATGACACCAGACACCCCAATAAGGCGTTAAAGAACATTCCATTTGCAAGCAGATGGAACAGGGGCACAAGGGGAGCAGAACATGCTGTTCCAAGAAAATGGACACCGCCATTTAACACTGACACACTCTTGAATACTAACTTGGTCATAGGATTGGTTACGACCTAGAGGAAAGAAAGAAAAAAAAAGATCAGAGTTCCACTTATTTCTTTAACAGGAAGTTATAAAGAGGTATTAAGCAGGCATTTAAGTCTTTTGGAAAGAAAGAAAGAAAGAAAGAAAGAAAGAAAGAAAGAAAGAAAGAAAGAAAGAAAGAA